TTTTGATGATTGATTCTTGTAGATTAGCTAAAAATATTAAGATCTGTCCAAACGGCATTTTCTACTTTTAATATTGACCAAGATATCGCCCTTTGAAAAGTCGGGATTTGACGTCATCCACCGCGGTAATGACACCATTGGTTTCTTCCACCTTGTTTTCATTTGTCAGGGAGACGCAAATTTTTACCGATTACTCAACGTGAAACTCGGATGAAAGCGAGGTGAAAGAAACCATGGGTGTCACTGCCGCGGTGGATTATGTCAAAAACCCGACTTTTCAAAGGGCAATACCTCGGTTATTATTGAACGTAGACATTTGCAGTTTAGACCGATTTTATTAGTTTTAGCTTATCTACAAGAATCAAGCATCAAAACACGATTTTATGACCAGCGCAACCAACCCATTCAATGAGCCTGTCGCAAACTTTAGCTAAAGCAAAATAGGGAATTTTCGCATTTTCGTAAAATTCATTTAAAACAAATCGCTCTTGTCAGTCATCATCAGGCGAGTTGGACAGAGCCGGATCTAGCAGTTCGGCAACACCTGATTTCCTCCAATAAATAAATGCTAAATAATCGACTCCTTGTAGCCCCTCCAAGAATCGATAAATTTCCATGGATTTAAATGGAGAAAATACAATGATGCCAATTTGCTTGATCCGCCGATGGAGTTGGATTTGGTTTTGTGCCCACCAATCATCATTGGGCGGAAAATTGCGTTGATCCCCGACTTCGACATTTGCCTCGCTCGATTAAATTGTTTAGATTGACATCGCGGGGTCTTTGGACAAAGCGCGTAGGTAAAAAAGTAGGTTAGAGTTGAGTTGGTCAAAAAAATCCTCAATTCCGTAAGCCGTTTGCGGCTGAACTTCACGGTTCGTATAAGAAACGAGCGGAGTGAATTTCCAAAATGAAGTAAGACGTCGCTGCCCCGGCTGAGGTTGTGCAATTCATTATTCCGGAATCAGGCTGCAGAAGTGAAGACAAATGACGGTGCTGCAAGCTCCGCAAATGAGATAGAACGGGGAGGGAGGAGAAGAGAGGAGGAGAGGAGGGCGCGGAGGGGGCCGTGAAAATCCCCGCAGAAATCATAAAACACGGCGAGGAAAAAAGATTTGGCGTAAAAACGGGGGCTCCCGGCGAAACGGAGAAAAAAGAGAGTGATAAAGGGGGTTATAAAAGAGATTTAGTGGTTGATGAGATTTAGAGACAATGACAGACCCGGCGATAAAATTAAGAAAAACAAGGGAGGGTAATTAGCCGAAAAGCTTTGCAGGTGTCTTGGATCTTTGACCTATTCCGGCTCGACGCCATGGACGAGGCATCGGGATTTTTCATCTCCTTTTTCCCCCTCTCCTGTTTTCTGCTCCTTGTCTTCCACCGTACCTCGGCCCTGGGCGGGAACGCCACTTTTAGCTCCACTCGGCAGCATGCAGCTTTGCACCACTCACCGTTTGAGGCCCCTATTCGTGGTCGTCCCTTGACAAGCTCATTTGCTCAGGAACAACCTATCTGGTTCACATTGTGATTAAAGAGACCTTCAACATAGCACCATTAAAAGGGCAATTTTTAAGAGCCTCCAGTATAAATCGTAACGTAAGGGCGTATCCCAATTTCTACGTGAGCCCTGGTTTACAAATAAGTCTATGCTTTCTGAGGCTCATGATGCGCCCTAACGTCAGAGAAGCGACAAATTCAACAGGATAACTTTAGGAAGTAGATGCTTGCCTTTGATTGCAATGATTTGACCACTACAAACAACACAGAACAAAAAAAAAAAGCGCCTAGAAATGATACAATTTTGAGGTTTTCTTATGATGACAATACTTCTCCTACCCGTATGGGAAGCGAGAGAGTAAAAATTCTTTGCATTTGAAAAATTTAAGGTAAGTATGGACCTGCCTTCACGTTTCAAATTTCAAAATATTTTTTCTCTCGAAAATTCCTGATCCATGACCGATTTTCCCTGACGACATTGAATTTTCTGATATTTGCGGTTTTTAAGCCCTAGATAGACGATCAAATTCCGAACCAATTCCGATCAAAGTAGACATGCTGATGACTTGTGGTCACTATCTACCATCAAATTTTGACGGGCCGCACTTTTTTGTTCAAAGTAAGATCAGAACGGAGTGCTACCATTCATCATTTCCTGCCACAGGAAACATTTCTGCTAAGGTTTCATTTTAAAATGAAGCAAATTAATGAGTTTAAGACTGATGACTCCCGACACTTTGATGCTACTTTGATCGGAATTGGTTCGGGAATTTGATCGTCTATCAAGGGGTTTTCTGACGATTGACACCCTGCAAACTTTGCTGAATGTTCAAACTTTGCTGAATGTTCAAAAACCTTCAATCTTGATAGAGGTATATCATCAAATATTAAGAGTACTGATGAAGTACACAATATAGTTGACGAGTGTTACGTCGCTTTATTTACCATAAACTGCCCATTAAAAAGAGACTTTTGCGGTTGAATCCTTTTTTTCTGTGTGTGAACTCAGCTATAACACTCGGTTCTCGTATTCTTTTTATGAGGGACGCTACCGCTGTCCAGCGCGGTCTGCCGTCTGCAGTGCGACGAGACGGTCATAGCTTAAAGTTCGCGGTCGGAGCGCCTCGCTTTGATGGTTCGTGCGGCCTAGACAAAATGGGTTATTTAGTCGAAAAGCCATTTCAATTTCCAGTTGCCCGGGCCACGTGCATAAAATTGTTTTTCATCCGAGCTTCTCTCTCGCTCTGCCCACCTTTCTCTCCTCTCAATTTCCTCACTTCTTGTCATCGCGCCAAGAACACACACACACCTAAATAAATTTACCTTTACCGAACTGCCACTCCGTCTGCGTGAATAATCCTCACCGACAGCCCAATCAAAATTTCGAAGATTTTGTTTTGTCGCCGGATTTGCTATCATAGCGCCTTCCTTTTTGCGCGACGCAAAAAACGATGAAGCTTGATTTGTCGGTTCTTGAATGGATTTGAATGTGTAAGTCACGTAAATAGCAAACATGCACCCTCTCACCCGAAGCAGTAAGATTCACGGTCACGTATTCTTGTCAATATAGCAAACATGCACCCTTTCACCCGAGTCGGCAAGATTCACGCAAATTAAAATTTCGAAGATTTTGTCCTATCACGGGATTTGTTATCATAAGCGCCTTCCTTTCTGCGCGACGCGAAAATTGGTGCAGCTTGATTTGTCGGTTCTTGAATGGATTTTAATGTGTAAGTCACGTATTCTTGTCAATATAGCAAACATGCACCCTCTCACCCGAGGCAGTAAGATTCACGTAAGTCTTGTGTATTGTGTCTTATAAGTCGTTGAATTGATGACGAAACACAATATTATGCCTGATGATCTTCCACTTTGACGCTTATTCGTAATCATGCGTTAAACGACTCCTTTCCTCACGCATGCACCATATAGTTAACAGTGTGATTAAGGAAGGTCTCAGGAATCCTTTAACTAAACACCTTAAGGGGGGCAATTTTTCCGGACGGTTCAAATGAAAATATAAGTTATCTATTATTTTAACAAATTTTATGGTAGACCCCAATTTACATTTAAAATTTGCAAAATCTGCAGTACACTTAGTATTTTTTGCGACGGCAAATCATTGCGATCTCTTGCGGTGACTTACGAAAGTCTTAATGACCCAAAGGAGTGAGGATGGTTGAAGTATTGACAAAGTACGTGATTCATACACAAAAATCCATTCGCGAACTTACAAAACAAGGCGCACAGACTTTTGTGTCGCGTGAAAAGAAGGAAGCTTTTCTGATTCTAAAAAGGGTTGGTTAGGAGACACGCGCACGATTGTGATGCCAACAATCAAAAGCATAAACATTTGTTCTTCTAAGATTTTTAGGTTTTCGGCTACTCATAATGCGAAATAAAAGGTGAGCTATTAGCCGACTTTAGTAATATAATATGCAAAAATTGCTGCTTAGGCCATGCTTTAAAAAAAATAATGTGCAAGAGGATACGTCATGCGAGAATGCAGACGTATTAAATGCCTGAACTACGCATTGGCAGCATAGCATTGCGAGTTCACGCCTCGCGCCATCGCGCCTTCAATTTCGCAAACGTAACACGGGCATCCGTCAAGCACGAATAGTTGTATCACTGCGCCGTCATCGATGCGTTCCTTTTCCCTCGCTCCGTTTCCATATTGTGTCGGTTCTGCTTGTCTTGTTTGTAATGTTGCTTTAAGGGCTACGTAAGCGAAACAGCTGAGAATAGAGGTGACGTTATCGGGCCTCGTCTTTTAACTTTTCTCCCGAATCTGAGCGACACCTCACCGACAGCATAAAACAGGTCATTGACAGTTCACGCTTCTCATCGAGCCTTCAATTTTACAGACGCAACACGGGCATCCATCAAGCACGAATAGTTGTATCTCTGCGCCGTCACTATTGCGCTCATTTTCCCTTGCTTTATCCCCATATCGCGTTGGTTCCGTTTTTCTTAGTTTTCGTGATGCTTCAAGGGCGATATATATTTACTGTATAATCACTGTCCTCCTATTGTGGGGAGGGAGGACAGTGCTTATACTATATTAAAATACCCTCTCTAGGGGTTGCCCTATAATAACACTAGCCTTAATACTAGTTTTTATAATAAAAATACCCACAATATTTTTACATATATGACTTCCTAAAGTTCATGTAGAATCACCAGTTCAAGGATCAATAATTCTAGCATCAGTCTTACGTAGGTAAGCAGCACAGCCGAAGATAGGAGAGACGTAATCTAGCCTCGATTTTTTAACTTATATCCCAAATCTGTGCGACACCTAGATTTACGCCATAAGAATTACAACACGACTGAGTAGAGAAAAGCCTTGGAGCTGGTGCATTTCCTTGTTTCACTGAATTAGATCACATTTCGCAGTTAGGAACTACAAATTCGCGAACGGTATGTCTAAATAGCCCGTAAGTACTGCTTCCACGGCCGGAGTTTTCTTCCAGTAAAGTAAGTGGGATTGGCGGACTTACCGGCAGTGTCTTCGGTGTCTGTATCGGCTGTATCTCCGAGGGGGGAATCGGCCAGATTCTCGTAGCTGTCCCACCTGGTGACCGGATCCGTGGACAAGTCAACAGGGACCGCCGGGGTCGGGGCTGGCGCCGGGAGACGCACCGATTCGGGGGTCGCCGAAAAGTGGAGCTCCACCGCACCGTCCAGCGGAAACCTCAAATCTGGAAACCGAGAGTGCACTTTGTCACAAAAATCTCATTTCAATTTTCAAAGCGAATTAAATCCCACGTTTTTTAAAGAGGAAGAATCTCAAAGTAATCATAAGCAGTATAATGAAAAAAATGGTATGCTGTTTTAGCACGTAAAATGTCAAAAACGTGTCTGTTGATCCAAAGCCGCCTTGACTGCCAACACAGTTACATTTACATTCACAAATTGTAAAAGCAACTGCGTGGGCAGGAAAGACAGCAACTTCGGATCATCAGACACATTTTTGACATCCTAGGTGCTGAAACAGCATACCATTTTTTCAGTGGTTTAATTTTTTGTCAGAGTGCTGTGAATTTGGGTTGTTCATATTATTAAAAAATGTTCACACATTGTTTGCTGACACATTGTGGGTTCCCATTGATCTACAGAGCACTAAAACTGTGATCGGTATACAAATCACTAAATAATTTGGAAAAAAATATATATATATTTAAAAAAATGCATGAATCTCAAAGGTTATAGATATGGAATTTGTAACGATACCATTAGGTACCAAAAGTAGTTGAAAATTTGATGGCCAAAGTGCGAAACCTCGTGGCTTCATTGCGGTGTTTCGAAATTTTTGCTCCAATTTTATTTTTTCGAGGAGAAACAAGCCAAATTTATACTTAATTTATTCAGAATTTTGTGCTGATGGAGAAGGAAAATCAAGGAAGTTTTAAAAAATGCGTCATAGTTTTCCAAGGAAAAAATAAAGTATGACAGAAAGTCAGCAACGTCGCAAACGGAGATACATAGTTCTGTACTTTGTCCATCGGCTTCTACATCTAACTTTGAGACTCATATATTTTTGAAATAGTTTTCTTAAATAACGTGCAAAAGAAGGTTCCCTGAGTTTTTACGTGTTACTGAAAAAATAGAATTTAGATCTTTCTGTGTGGTTGAAGAAAGTTTTTAGGGATAATTCTGGCCCATTTTGACCAGTTAACGAAACCTTGAGCTTTGATAAAATAATAACTTAAGTTGGGGAAAGGCTGCAAAAGGGGGACAAATCAAAAGCAAAACCCGGTTGATAATGAAATTTTAATTATTTCGAAACGTTCCGGGTTTTGCTTTTGAATTGGCTCCCTTTTGCAGCCTTTCCCCAAATTAAGTTGTTATTTTAATACGTGTTTTGGCTGATTAAGTTGTTTCTTCCTTGAGCTTTAAGTTCATGGTCACTCGGCTGGTTGCGAAACATGCTGTGGGGCAAATTGGCAACGATCCTGCAGTTACTGCTCAAGTATGGAAAAATCAGGCAATTCGAACCAAAAAAATTTAATCTATGCTAAACTAAAATTTAATGAAAGAAATAAATGGAATTTCACAAATGATGCGAGAGAGGACACGAATGATGATGAAAGTGCACGCATTTCAGCGAAGGTCGATAACTCACCGTGACAGGCTGAATCTAATTCTTGACGAGTAAAGCTAACAGTGTAGTCCGTTATAGCACAGGTATGAAATTGGCACGAGAAAATTTGCTCTCTGAGCGGCGGCAGAGGTTCGCTCGCGTTGCTGCTGCACCTTGTCGGGCTGTCAGCTGTGCCGCTGTCTCGCTGGTTGCCAGAATAATGTCTGCAAAATGCAAGCCTCCAATTAATCTTGCGAGCCATCTCACCATAGAAAAATCCCAAGCATCACCCGTTTGACGATCGGCAAATGCGCGCGCTCCAATTGACATCCCTAATTGCGCCACCGAGAATCCCGAATTCGAGACCCAAGATCAACAGAGCTGTCGCTAAACTTACGGAGGAATTTGAGGCAGTTTCTGCTCGTCCTTTCAAGAAGGTGTACAGTCAAACAGTTAAAGAGAATAGGAGATTTCCCTTATTCGCACGCTGAAAATGGGAGTTGTTAGTCGCTCCTCGGTGCATCGCCAGTCGTAATATCGTAAAATTCAGACTTTCATTTAAATTTGTAACGAACTTACGCAAAAAATTCCATTTTTAAGGAGAATATGAACAGGACGCTTACTAAAACAGGCTGCCAAAAAATCAGTACTTTTGGAGTGCTTTTTCAGTACTTTCCCAAGAAATTCAGTACCCCCTCAAGAGGAAAATTCATTACTTTTTCAGTACCTCCATAGACGAAATTCGAAAAATTTCAAATATTTGAATTTCTCGCTCAGAAATGAAAAAAAAATTCCGGACCTCCTTGCGGAATTTTCGCACTTTTTCAGTACTTCTGAACCGCCCTTAAAAAAGCAGTATTTCCGGACTTTCCAGAAATTCCGGACTTGTAGACACCCTGATGAATTTAAAATTCCTGTCTAAAGTTTTGCTGATTTTTGCGAATAATCAAAAGAAAAATCAGTAAATTTCAACTGGAAACGATCAACAGTTTCCTGGTAAAAATAGAATTTGCGGGTCTAAATTTTGCGACATTGGAATGGAGTTGCGTGGTTTCGTCAAGAAAACGACGAGTTACGTATTAGACGAATTATAATATACTATGATGCTAGAGCATGTTTATTGGCACTCTAACACTCCATGACTGGTTCTTCGGAGTGTTTAGAGGATAATCAACTGTCTATAAATTCAAATATTATACAATGTCTGCAGCTTCAAATTCGTGTCCAGCACTCAAAAAGACATTACTAGCATTGGAATTCAATCCTTTTCGTCATTCATAGGAGAAGTCACTGAAGTGACGAGTTGAATTTTATGAGATCACAGCTCAATGTAATGTATTCTCATGCTTGATTTCTCACACTGCCCAGTGATCCATTTCTAGCCGATTTCTGAGCGTCGACCGTACACGACCACGGTCTAGGCCGTAATTGTGATCGTTCCGGACCTAAATCACTTTCTTTCCCTAGGAATGGCTCATATTTTGGAATTACGGGAGGTTTCGGAAGGCTTCAGACATAGCATAATAAAAGAGCAATTTTCACGAATTTCGACTGAAATTCTTCATGTTTGAACAGATCTTGTTATTTTATAATCTAAAAGCTTAATCCATCGAAACACGATTCTATGACTACAGCAAGTGACCCATTCTGGTCGAAGTTTTTAAAAATTACCAGATTTTTTAATGGCTTTTCAAATATCTCCTCCAGCCTCCCATGGTTGTCAAATGAACCACGTGGGATGGGGCGGTGAAGTCAGGAGCTCTGCTGTGCTAAGGAAAAGCGCCGTATGAGCCTTCAGGCGTTGCCAAATTTCCTCTGGCAAATCACTAATTTTCGGAAAATTTTTTGAATATTTTGCTACCGATTTCTCGGATAGTATTGTTTATAATTTGATCTAAAACGTTTGAAAATTTCAAGGAAAAATATTCATAATTTTTCTCAAAAATAAACGTTTTATCGAAATAAATTTGGCAACTCTCTCGTTCATACGGCATTTTTCCTTAGCAAGGCACACTGGGGAAAAAAACACATTGGATGTAGAGTCGAGACTCTTGAAAACATTGACAAGTAAAAGGACTCTTGATTCAATCAGATTTTTGCCTCGATCAAAAGGAAATCCGCTCAAATTAAGAGGCTTGGTTCTTGATTTAAGCTTAAATCTGATTGAATCAGGAGTATTTTTTCTTGTCGATGTTTTTAAGAGTCTGGACTCTAGATCCGATGTGTTTTTTTTTCCAGTGCAGATTAAGTATTTATTTTTAAGGTAATTTATGAGTGTTTTTCGTTGGCGGATCCAGCAAATTGGCAACATTGATTTTCCCCCAGTTAAACCTATGGAAATGTATCGATTCCTGGAGGAGCCAGGTGCTCCGAGAAGAATAGATTATTCAACATAGGTTTAAATGGAGGAAATCCGGTGTTGCCACGTTGATGAATCTGCCTTTTCTGAAAATCTGAATTTTTTCTTGTCGATGTTTTTAAGAGTCTGGACCCTAGATCCAATGTGTTTTTTTTCCAGTGCAGAGCTGTTCAAGGAATAATTTTGGACAAGAGCCCAAGAAAAGCCTTGGCCATGGTGGAAAGTATTGATACTTGCCTATGATAGCACTTGAGAAGGATGTCTCCCCTGAGCTGAAGGCCTCGCCGCTGGCGTTCCGCGGCGACGTTGACGGTGAACTGTTTGGTGTCCCCGGTGACGGTGTAGACGCCCGAGGTATAGACGGGGACCAGCCCCTCGTAGACCTTGAGAAATGCCCGGCACCCGCCACCCATGCCGGGCTCGAAAGCCGGCGCCCCCAGCACCGTCACGTGCGTCAGGAACAGCGGCGCGGAGTTCACTCGGATGTTCGCAGATAGGAGACCGGCCATGTAGTCCACGTACCTGAGGCAAACAAATATACAAATAATTAATTCAACGATTTTTGAAGCGTTTAAAGCCCAATTCATACTATCAAACTTTTCATCCGACATGATTGAAGGAAAAGTTGGATGGGGAGTTGGACGCAAAAAAATTTGATTCAATTACCGTTGCAGTGCGATATCGTCATGAGGCTGCGGTTTGCGAAGATACAGCTTCGGCTCGTGTCGGTCGGAAGATTTGGTTCCAACTTTTCGTTCAACTTTCCATTCAATTGGCGCCGTCAATTGGATGGAAAGTTGAACGAAGAGTTGAGTGTGGCATCGCATTCAAGTTTCCCTTCAATTTTGCATCAAATTGTCGTTTTCTCTCGTCAGTATCACACTATCCCACTTTTCATTCGACAAGTTGCATCCAAGAGTTGGATGAAACGTTTGAGTGCGTGAATTGGGCTTAAAAACCACCGTGGCTTGGCACGTGGAAATGCGTTTTATTTTGACAAACATCAGTGGAAAATGAGAAGAAGATAGCGATTTTACTGCCATGGTAAATCGCCTCAATCATTTCCCATTCCGGTGCGTTACAAATTCCTCTAAGTCTTGGACTTTTCGAAAGCGGGTTTCTTCAGGATTTTTGCTCTAAAAATACACAAAAAATCACCGCATAATCTAATCACCTGGTGCTTTCAAAATAGTTAATAAAAAAACACAAGGTTTAGAGACTCATTCCCTCTCATAAAATAAGGACTTTTTGGAAAACCTGTTAATTTTTTCAGATGATCTTATCTTGTACACAATTAAATCTAGTATGTTTGACTTTTTACATTGTTGTTTTTTGACTTTTCGAAAATGGTTTTCTCATGAATTTTGGCTGCAAAAATACGCAATAAATCACCCTATAATATACTTACCTGGTGCTTTCAAAATAATAAAAAAACACAGGGTTTAGAGATTCATTCCCGCTCATAAAATATAGACTTTTTCGAAAACCTGTTAATTTTTTCAGATGATCTTATACGCAATTAAATATAGTATGTTTGAAAATTATAAGGAAAAAATATCTATTCATAATACTAATGAGGAATACAATCCCCATTAAGGAAACATTCCTGAACGTTACAATGCTCACATGACGCATGACGTTTTACACGGCAGAGTGCAGTAGAGATCTCACGGCGTGGGAGTGCATATGCCCGGCACCCGGTGCAACGACGCGACGGCGGCGTCGACGTGCATCGTTTTTATCCACCGACGCGACGCGGGGGTTTCCACTTTAGTCGAAAGCCTCTCGACAAAAGCGCAGCAAACAAAGACAGATGGATGCCCGAACAAAGTGCGAACAGGAGCCCGAGAGCCACTTGACATAAATTAAAAAGAAAGGAGAGAAAATCCGCGCTAACATTCTTATCGGGCCAAACGCCGGAGCACTTATGGATAAAAGAGGGTACGCCGGGATGCGGGGGCGGAAACGCGTGCAGAAACCACGTAACTCCGCTTAGAACTTCCACACAGCTGCCAAGTTATCCGCGAAGCATACATATTTACGTCTGAAAAAGGCGATTTTCAGCACGATCTGGCAACGATGACCCTTTGCAGATACGCGAGAGGGGACGTCGCGGTGATAACGACAAAATGGACCGCAACAATACCGCCGCGTTAATTGATGACTTGTAACTCGGAACAATGGGCATTGTTACTAATTAATCATTTTTCAAAATTGAAAAAAGGCCGGGCCGGGCAGGGGTGCAGGCACGAAATGACTGTCGGAATAATGCGTAACTTGGCAGGGAATCCTGCCTTAATCGGGCGCATCTTACTCCGGATTCCGCTGATGAAAACAACGTTTTACTGTGTAGCTTGACGGTGAAACTCAGGACAAGGACCTGAATAGCCATTTTACGAGATTTTCATTCCTTAATTACTTTTTTTTTTTTTTTTGGAGAAGAGAAGAGCAGATTTTTTTACATATTTCCATGAAAATTTCAGGGCATATTCCAGAAAAAGCCAAACGCTTTGTAGTAAATACAGGCGTTATTTCGAAGTAATGCTAAAGTATTTCCTGATCAACATTTTATATAAATACCTCGTTTATTTCCTGATCAACATTTCATATAAATATCTCGTTTATTTCCTGATCAATGCATCAACGTTTAATATAAATATCTTATGTACTGCGGGGTGATATTTAGGGTTCTTAAAAATCTTAGAATGAAAGTCTTAGAATTGAGAAATAAGCAATAGAATCCATCGAGAGTGTAGGAAAAAATAATTTAATAGATGAATGTTATAATTCGATTATTTAAATTGATGGATTCAACCGAAATTATCCTAACTACGTCATATGTAGCCTAATTTTTTCTGGTTGTTTTAATGTGTAAACAGAAGACCAAGGAACACTGAAAATTTAAATTGTGTGTGTTTCTTTTTGAATAATCTAGGGTGAATTCATAAACATGAAAATTGAAGGCGTTGAGTAGTTCAGTTCCCTATTGAAAAAAATAAAGAAATAAAAAATAATAATAAATAAAACAGGGGAGAAAATTAAGCAACATGAAATGCATTTAGGCTTATTCCAGTTTGATTCGTCCAATTTGTCGCCCTTTTGACGTAAGGGCATATCGACGGCGTGAGTTCGCAATCACATATCTCGTTTGGGGTGTCTGAAAATCTCCGTCTAAAGGTTAATTTTTAAAGGAGAGTCATGACATCATTCCTTGAAGTTTATGCAGAATTTTCTTCGCACAGAGAAGAAAAATCACGACAGTTTTAAAGTTTTGCCGTTGAGTAGTTTCCCGTTTCAAAAATAAAGTATGACAGGAAGTCTGCGACGTCGCAAACCAAGTTATGTGATCGCCGACTTACACCGTCGATATATGGCGTCGAAACACCAAATGGACATTTAAAGCCCTATTATTCGATGCCGCGATTAGTCTAACGCGAGTTCGAATGATAGTCGCGTCAAACACAGTGCGGCCAGCGTTAAACGCACATTAGCGCCTGCAAGACTGTGGGAATACTTCACGCATTGCGCCAAATAGTGCGGCGGGCATGAAGCGCCTATGAGACTGCATCATGAATACTTCTCGCATTGCGCCAAACGCAGTGCAGAAATACACCTGCCGACTGCCGACTTACACCGCCGATATCTCAATATCTTTGTGAGCCTCTTTTTACATATAAATCCATGCTTTCTGGGGCTCATGCGGAGATGGAGATACGCGTTTACACCAGAGGAGCGACGAAATGATTGAAGGCTGAGGTCATATTTTCGTTGACATCTTCTTTTATGATCGCACATGACAGAATGAATTTTGTGCCCGCGTGACCTATGATTTTGCGCAGTCCTTTTGCCTTGGATTTCAGAACTTATGAAATTTCGAATGACCCAATTATACGTCTTTCGACGAAATGATCCGTGACTCAAACTAATTGGTTCTGGCGCCTTCGGTGGCCTCTCATAATTGATCCAATTAGTGCCCTCACCGACTCCATGACTTGCCGTTTGATCAAACAATTGCAATAATATCGTAGTCCTCCTGGCATAAGGGCGTAACTACACTTCGCGATGAACCCTGTTGCCCATATGACTCAACGCTTTTCCGGGCTCATCTCAATGTGTAGTTACGCCCTAATGTCAGGCAAGCGACGATATGATGACCACAGACTCGTTGATTCTCTGATCAACCTTGAAGGAAACGGATGTGCACCCGTGTGTATAAAGTCTATCGAGTAAAAAATAAAAACCTCCTTATAGAAAATCTCCAAGTCCTCCCCGGTATTTAGTCATTTTAGTCAAGTTACTCAACATATTACGTACCGTTAGTTTTCCTATGCGTATAAGCGTTCTTACGGGCATTAAGCTATAGTAAAAGTTATTCCTAGAGCAGAATGAAGTCGAAATTTTCTTTTCGGTCGGTACGGTCTTTGATTTTACCCTGGTCCATCATCCGATCCTAATCATTGACGGATCCAGTAAATTGTCAACATTGTCTTTCCTCCAAAAAAACCCATGGAAATGTATCGATCCTTGGAGGGGCCAGGTGCTCAGACAAGAATCGATTATTTGGCATAGGTTTAAATGGAAGAAATCCGGCGTTGCCAAATTGCTGGATCCACCTCTGATCCTAATTCTCGATTGGTCAGTTCCCACCGTCAAAGAGTGCTCGGTCGAAGGAGATCGAATAACTACGACAACGGACAGAAGACGGTCAGGGGATGGACAGACTATTCGACGAGTCTGTGTCCGTTCGTCCAAGTCTCAGCCGCGACGTGTCGAAGGTGTAGCTGCGACTGATGTCCTCAACGAGAGTATGGACCAGTAGCGTGGCGTGAATGATCGACTATCGATATCTCCCCATTTGAATCCGTGGTAAAGAATCGATTATTAAGGTGTTCGCTGCGAACACCCTGTTAATTGATCCTTTTCCATAGATTTAAATGACAGATCAATCGATATATCGCAAAGCACGCCACGCCACTGATATGGACCGGTTTCGGAAAAAGGCAAGATGAGAAGATGCTGGTCGACTCGAATCGGTGGTTCGCGGAAGTGGAAACGCAGAAAAAGAGAAATGCCACGTCCAAGTCCAGGTCCAGACGCAGACGGAGTGGAGCTGAAAAAACGGCGAGACCGGCTCGGAGCTGTAAATTGATGGACGAGTGCGTGAGTTCTTACCTGCGGTTCGATGGCTGCTCCAAATCGCCAATTTTAGAATCTAGAAACCGTCTCATTGCGAATCGGTCCAGGGCCTGGTCGGGGCCTCCGCAAATGTCGGAATAGTGCGCAAACGCGGCTACCACCACGCCGATGCGCTCCTTATTCCCCCTGGAAACATTCAGAAACAACAAATGAAATTAGCGTCATCTCGGATAATATTCCACCAAAAAACCACTCCAGCGGCTGACCGTTGAAATTGATAGACATAGCGATAGACAGAGAAGACATGAGGAGTAAATCATCAACGAAACTTCAGACACATCATCCTCACCAACACCAGATAACACATTCGAATCCCAAATGAATATCATGATTGCGATTTTAAGACTTGCACGGACGTGGCCCTCCAGCGGACTGATTATGAAAATTGATAGACAAAGCGATAGACAAAGAAGCCGTGAGGAGTATGGAGCGATCCTATTGGTTGAAATGGGTGGTTCTTATAGACTAAGGGGGTAAATAATAGACTAACTATCGGGTCTGTCGTGGGTTGCCATTACGTAGTCTATTACCTACCTCCTCTGTCCATTGCAACCACTCGCTCCCAAGAATAGGATCCTTCCATATCCTTTCTGTCTTCTTTGTCTATAGCTTTGTCTATCAATTTCAACAGTCAGCCCGCAGTGCTGGGTCCTAACATGGCTTCATTCAGATTTTCGGTAAGTTACGGCTGGCTGATTGAAATTGGTAGACAAAGCTAGAGAAAATACAATAGATGATGGTGGAAGTCGACGGTTGCAATGGACTAAGGAGGTAAGTAATAGAGTATCAACGGCAACCCAAGGGAGACCCTTTGGTCAGCCCATTATTTTCCACCTTAGTCTATACCCGTTTCAACGAATAGGACCCTTCCATTTTTCCTTCATCTTGTCGATCTCTTAGTCTATTAATTTCAATAATCATTCCGCAGGTCCACTGATTCCATTAATTTGACCCACTGTCCCACTGCTCTCGACGTGAGTATCAAACTGTTTTATTGGTCTGCAATCTGCATGAATGGATTACTCCATTGTAAAATGACGGGTGACACTTTTAAACGGATCAGCGCATTGATCTTAGAGCATTGACGGCAATCTATGTGAACATAGAGCGGATACAAAGATACTGAGGTTCCTCAGTTTGTGTTGTGTGTGTGTTTTTTCGAAGGGAAACAAGCTAACTTTAACTTGACATTTTCAACATATATCTTTTTAAAGATGGAGGAAAGATCGTAAAAATGGTTCAAAATTCACGGTGAATAGTTTAAAAATGCAAAAAAAAGAAAGAAAGAAGGAACAAAGTCAATTTTGACAGGACGTGGTTCCCGCGTTCAGAGAATTTTAACAAGTTGACTATTTTACTTCAGCAAGAGAGTCGGAACAATTTAGGATCCTGCGTCGAAGCCGAATCCATCTGGTACGCATGAAGAAAAAAAATCTAGGGCTAGATAAAACGTTTCTACATCGACTTTAATAGCAGAACGATTGAAGCGACCGTAAGTATCATATCGAACAGATCGGAAACAGTGGCGTTATCTCACGAGCGAAGCGTGATTTATTTCGATGTGTCACGTAAATTGCATGCAGCGTATTTGAAGGCGTTTTAAGGCCTCGTCTTGCGCAGGAGATACGAGCGGCGACCGGCGAGGACTGAGAAGAGGGCTGACACCAGCGTAATTTTTACTTACGCGTCGATCAAGCCCAGAGAGGCGAGTCTCAATGAAAGCGAATTCTTCATTTGAGTACGATAAGTTTATACAGTTAAAACACCACGGGACAAACGGGAGGTAACAAAATAACATGAAGGGGATCAGTTGCCTCGTGGAGCAACACGGACGGCTATTGTTTCTAATCATTTCACACACTGGAAAAACAACACATTGTATCTAGAGTCCAGACTCTTGAAAACAATGACAAGAAAAAACACTCTTGATTCAATCAGATTTAAGCTTAAATCAAAAGGAAATCCGCTCAAATTAAGAGGCTTGGTTCTTGATTTAAGCAAAAGTCCGATTGAATCAAGAGTATTTTTTCTTGTCGATGTTTTTAAGAGTCTGGACTCTAGATCCAATGTGTTTTTTTTTCCAGTGCATCACTCTTCGGACTATTTAGGTTTGTATTCATATTTCCGTTTCAAATCAGCCCCAAATATATTCTGCCTGCCTTTAAATTGATTGAAGAAGTTCAACGACTAATTTAAATACAAGTGTTATTACGATATAATCATGAAATAAAAACATAAGACACGATTTAAAAAAAACAACAATATCAATTATGAGAAAAAACAGTTAGAAAGCTATTTTTAGTTAAATAAATGAACAAAAAAACTTGAAGCAATTTTAATGCTAAGCTCAGGAAGGTTTCCGCTCACATTCTTTTGCCTGCATTTGATTTAATAGAGCCTAATGCTACTTTTCCATCGTCTCACTTATATACTTAGAGGCTTATAAATTTCATTCCTTGGAATTTATTTCAATTGATTTATTATTGATTCGATAACTTTTGCAATGAATTTCTGTTTTGAGGGAATAGGTGCGAAAAAAAATTCGATACAAACATTTTTTCCGGCAACAACTGATATAATCTCCTTCCGTTTGATTTATACTCTAACGATAATCCATTACATCTTGGATCTTTGATCTACCGTGCTATATTCTGGAACGTGAGGTTCAACGGGTCACAACTTTTACGAATTCCTACCGTCTGTCTGCAGCCAGAACCCTCTTTGTTTACAAAACAGCGTGTCCAAGTCTACCGCGCCAACGAAGAACGGCATACGAGCATTCTGACGTAGCCGATGTCGCCCAAAAAATATTTCTTTTTGACGAAAATTGTCAATACTTTTTCTTGAAATTTATACATAATCTAGATTTTGCATAAATTTCATATTGGGAAATAATCGGAGGAAGATACCTACGGAAAATCCTACATGGCCGTCAAACAAAGTTAAAACCTTTTAACTTTTGAAGAGAAACGTCTTTAAAATATCCGAGTTAGGAAACCCTCTTTATTATTTTGTACATGGAAATGCAACTTCGCAATTTAATAAGTTTTTCACCACTACTTAAATACACGAGAGCCGCGTTTACAGCGCTCTCTGGCGCAGTGCGCCACATGACTCAGTGTTGCGTACCCGACCAAAGCCCTCCAGGGAGTGACACTCCCTTATTCTACCGGGCGTTGCCTTCGTCGATTTTACTACTTACAAAGTTTTAACAAAAAGTTACTAAGTTTAAACAAAAATATTGAATCATTACAAAAGATTTCAGTATTTTATATCGCAATATTGAGCTTTTGCTTTTGTATTTAGCAAGAATTTGAGCGATCACTGGGAAAAAACACATTGGATCTAGAGTCCAGACTCTTGAAAACATTGACAAGAAAAAATACTCTTGATTCAATCGGATTTTTGCTTGAATCAAAACGAAATCCGCTTAAATTAAGAGGCTTGGTTCTTGATTTAAGCTAGATTCTGATTGAATCAAGAGTACTTTTTCTTGTTGATGTTTTTAAGAGTCTAGACTCTAGATCCAATGTGTTTTTTTTTTCCAGTGATAGTTAGAATTTAACGAAATTCCATGCAAACTTTTCATATACGTTCTTTTGACGTTAATTCACACACATTTTACATACAAACTCGTACATTTTAACAATTTTTTTAGAGTTTATCTAAAGTCCAAATTTTATAGTCAATGATGCTACTCGGGAGGCTATTATAAAAATTATTATCTTGTCGGAGGAAATTTCGCAACATCCGAAAATTCATGCGGCGTTATTCGTAACACGGTAGATTTCCAGGTGGACCTTGACGTACTTAAGGACACGAGCACTTCACGGCTCATTTAGAAGTAGCGCGTTTTTCCTTTGAACAAATATGGATTCATACGGTACGGAGACCCCAGTTAATCTTCGATCACTGCACTGCCGCGCCGCACCATAGAGGAACGCCGTTTGAGTCCCTCGACACTGCCAAATTTCCTTGAATAAAACAACGGTTTTCTGGTGAACGTGAGAATGATGTCTTTTCAGTTTTTCACGATACCTATCTTATCCCCACTTTTTTTAAAAAAATATCCGTAAATTCAGAAGAAAACACCAAAGGCAGATTCATCAACTTGGCAACACCGGATTTCCTCCATTTAAACCTATGTTGAATAATCTATTCTTCTCGGAGCACCTGGCCCCTCCAGGAATCGATACATTTCCATAGGTTTAACCGGGGGAAAATCAATGGTGCCAATTTGCTGGATCCGCCAACGAAAAACACTCATAAATTACCTTAAAAATAAATACTTAATCTGCACTGGAAAAAAAAAAACACATTGGATCTAGAGTCCAGACTCTAAAAAACATCGACAAGAAAAAATACTCTTGATTCAATCAGATTTAAGCTTAAATCAAGAACCAATCCTCTTAATTTGAGCGGATTTCCTTTTGATTTAAGCTAGATTCTGATTGAATCAAGAGTACTTTTTCTTGTCGATGTTTTTAAGAGTCTGGACTCTAGATCCAATGTGTTTTTTTTCTAGTGTGGAAAAGTTTGGCAATATCCGAAAGTTCATACGACGTTCTTAGCGCAGGAAAGCACTCGACGATAAATGTGGCAAATCTGCGCCAGAAATACCCGGGCAAGGGCACGTTGGCACAGGTCTAGCAAGAAGCACGTAACTCTAAAGAGAGCCTTGCGATTATACGTGGTTTTTGCCTAATTAAGTGGAGCATTGAGGCATACGGTGTGCCGGGCATGCTGCATGTGTATGCCGGTGCAGCTTGCAGTTGCTATGGCTTGAGCTTCGGCCGTGAGCCGACTAGGACTTCAGGGATGGCCGATGGCATCGTTAAAAACGCACGTAAAGATTATTAATTGCGCTCGGCCTAAACAGACTCGGACTGCGTGAGGTTCGAACCTACTCTCAAAGACCGAGGTAGAGCACTAAACGGCCAGCGTTGCTGGTTTTAACCGTCCAATTTGAAATTCCGCGGAAAAACCCTCCTGGCTAATCCTTCGCAAGATTGGTAGGAAGACGTTTTATTTTTATCCTTAAGCAGCAACTTTTCTAGAATTAATTACAAAACGTTTTTGGGCAGTTTTGGAAAACAACTTCCGGGCATTTTTAGTTCCAGAAAACCTTTTTCAAACTATATGATTTACTTTTTTAAATTTCATTGGTGTTTTAAAGAGGAAAAATAAAAAATTCAAACACTCTTTCGGAAAACCCATTTTTAAACGACAATTGTAAGATCTGAAAAAATCACTCGTTGTATCGGTGAGAAATTCGAAAATGAGTACATAAAACCCTTCAAAAATATGTATAAAATGTTTTTTTTAAAAAAAAAAAAAAAAAAAAAAAAAAAAAAAAAAAAAAAAAAGACTTTATAAACTTAGAGACTTCCTGGTGACTTCCAACGCTTTAAATATTTTGAAATTATTAAAACAGGACTTCAAATATTTGACAAGGCGTAGATTATGTCACCCCAAGTCTGCTTGCTTCCAGGACTTTATGTCCACCTACCTTTCGTCTATTAAATAAATGTCCACCGCTATTTATGTCTACTAAACGTTAAGTCCAGTCTTTATTGAGTCCACATGATTTAATGTCCAACCATAAATACGTCCAAAATTGTCCAAATTGTGGACATGTTATGTCCACAATTTTTTCTACTCATTAAAATGACAGGAACCACCTCAAAAATAAATGCATACTACTACTACCTTCACTCTTAAAAACATTTCATTCATGAATCAAGTCATGAAAGAGAACAGACTCTAAGAGCAGATAAAAACATACGTTCATGTGTACACTGTACGAATATGATAAGATGGAAACCAAAGCGGGAGCCTAGGAAACGCTCCAATGCCAAATAAAACATTTTTCAGTAACAGATGCAGTCAAAATTGAAAGTCCTCTTTGACTAGTTATTTCGTGCGCCTTTAATCTTGTAGGATACTGTGCAACGCCTCTGACGCGAAATAGTTGCTGAAAGCTAAAAGGCAACCAGCGTGACACACGCACAGGCGCCCACAAACCTAACGGGATACTTCACGCGTTGCGCAATGCGTGAAGTATCCCGTTAGGTTTGTAGGCGTCAGTGCGCGTTCTGCGCTGCTAACACGCCGCTCCGCTCTATGTTAGGCTCTAATATTTAAACTCGCGGAGTCAGCGTTTTTCAACTCATGAATTTGAGATGTTTGCACTCTCTGCATTGATTATTCCCTTTTAAACTGATGAAAAAGAAATATGTGCTACTGGAAAATATAATGTGTTTTTTGTAAATATAATAGTGGTTCCGTGTCAAATTTAATGATTTCCAAAGCATTCAAATTTATTATTTTATGTTTTGGGCTTTTACTGTGCTGCTGTGTGGTGTAAGCGCAACTAAAAGCTCAAAATTGGACGTATTTGACTCAAGGAGGTCGATGTACAAATAAGTTAAAAACAAAAAATTGCGTGCTTCTTAGTTTTTTTCCTCTTTTATTAATTTTTGTATAGTTTCTTTCATCGAACTACGGCTCATTGAGATTCATATCGATGCCATTGCTTGGAAAAGAGAAGAAATTAACATTTCATTTAAAATATGAGTTACGATAACAACGACTCATTCTCTCTTAATTTCTCATTTCGATATTGTCAATATAATTTTACACACGGACTAAAATATAACGCTCGAATTTGATTTTAGTGAACTTTACATTTGTGGACTTAACTTAGTGGACGTTTAAGTAATGGACTTAACAATGGTGTGGGCTTTAGAACTGTGGACGTAAAAAAAATTGTGGACGAAAAGTCTGTGGACGTAAAAAAGTGGACGTAAAGTCCGTGTACCGTCTGCTTAAACGTTTCGAAGTCTTTTTTGCGATGTTCGCTTTTTCCCCGTTTGTAAGAAACGTCCCCGAAACTAAAATATTCTATTGTTTTCAGCGACAGTTAAAAAACATTTTTTAAACTTCACTGTGGTATTATTCCACCGTGTCTTTTTCCACGTAGTTTTCCGGGCGGTTTGACATCCGCGCGTCGGGTCTCACCTTAGGTCTCGACGGAGCCGCCTATGCAAATCCACGTATCGTTTTCGTTCCATTTTTATGCCCTAATGGAAACAAATGAACTGAACTCGGGTGTTTTAAGGAGCCCCCCCTTCTCCCCCCTACTCCCCGCGTGCCCCCTCTTCCCGAACCCCCACCCCTTCCGGCTCCGCGCGTCGCTCCTAGATTTTTATTATTGCGTCGATTGCCTCTTGGATGCACGGCCGAAAGGCTCATAAATCAGGCTCACAATAGAACAGAAATATCGTCGTTTTCCAGTTTTCCGAACGAAAGAACGTAACTCTACTCCTACGTTGTCAAATTTACATTCCTAATTTGTAAATTTACCCGGAGACCCTTGGGAATTTTTCGCGAAAAATTTTTCTAATTTTACTAAGGATTGCGAACGAAATTAGGCAACATTTTAAACAGGAGTTGCGCCAACATTTTGGGGTGAAAAAGTGATCATTGAAGTAAATTTTGCAACCTTGGAATTGAGTTACGTTTTTCTGTCAGGGAAACAAGAATATGTGTAGATCGAGCTTGCCTCTATTTGGACCCCACCTCGCTCGAACTTGAAAGCTCCAGATGAGATTTCTGAATTTTACCGGTGATTTCGTATTTTTAACGTCGTCTTAAGACGCATCCTGAATCTTTCTAAATGGATCGTTAATGCTCAAAATTACGGCTTAAATGACAGTTCTAAATATTACACTTTTTCACCGTTTGAATCGACTTTCTGAAGACTTCGTCTTTGTTCTGTTTTTCGTGTTATAAGTTTCGTAAACTATTTTATTATTTCCTACTTGATAAGCTATTTTCAATAAAAAAGGAGAGGAAAATTTTGAAACTAACCGAGAATTTACGCTACTCCTTTTTTATTAATGTAACTATGAAATCCCCATAGGTCCCCATGAAATCCCCACGATCTATTGGAATCTCAAGGGTCCCCATGGAGCCGTTTTGAAAAAGCTCTTTGACATAATATGTTTATCTGCCTGGAAACTTTAGAGAAATCCTTCCATCTCCAAACTAAGTCATGCGTGTTTTTAAAGTTGTTTTTTCCGTTAAAGTACAGTAGTTCTTACGTATAGAATGGGCTCAGAGACTCTTTTTAGCATGGATCTTTTTAGCAGGTCCTCTCTTAGAAAAGAGAGAAACGTAGCTCTCAGAATGCTAGTGACTAAGTTCAGACCCAACATAAATTTTACGTTATTTTGTGGCCCGGTACAAATAAAATTGATGATAATAATTGGGCCGAGTTCATCAGAAATGAACCAACCCACATTAAGTTGAAACTGAGAAAAAGAGGAAGTTTTATTCTTACATAAGGCTCAATGTAAAAAATAAACTTTAACCCCTCTTTTCACCAAAAACATGTTTATTTTTAGACAGGAGAAAATATACGACTAGTAAAACTCAAAAACATTCTTAGCTCAATTTTTTCGAAAAAATGGGTTGATTCCTTTCTGATAAACTCGGTCCAATTATAGATACAATATTAAGACTGCAACTGGAAATTCAGGTTGCGCTAATGATCCGAAAAAGCTTCAAAAGAGATACTATTTGTTTTCGTCCACGTTTCTCTTTCACATGAGCTATTTTTGAAGTTTTCATGTGTCTTTAACAGATGAATTTGGATGATGTCAGAAATCTGAATGCAGATAACGTAACGTACCTTGCGTGGAGAACGGCTATGCGTGCCGGGTTGCCTGCCAGCCAGGAGTCGATTTGCTTGCAGACGGTACAGAGTCTCTCTAATGACGGAGCCAGATCGGGGGGCCACCCCAGCTCGGTGACCCTGTCGTGATGACTCCTGACACTCCTACGAGGTTCTGATAAATTGAAAACCTGAAACAAACATATGTTCCTTGAGGACCACTCGATAAGTTAAGACGACAACATGTGGAAACACGCTGTTCGTCGGACACCTTTCACTTGCTAAAATGGAAATAAGACGCCACTGAGGGTATCCTTATCCTGTGGTCGTTTGAATAATGAGCCGTGCTTTAAGGTAAATACTCTTGAAAAGAGCAGGTCGCTGGGTTCTTTTATGACCTTTAGGACTCGCTCAAAAAGTTACGACTTCACAAGTTTTTGGAATTTTGAGAATCTTTGAAAATAGCATTATTTGGTGGCTGAGAGAATACTAAAGCTAATCAAAAACAAATTTCAAGATATTTAAAATATCTTGAAACGTGCGCGGTTGAAATTAGTTTCAAAAAACGGAGATGGCACTAGATCTTTCCAAAATCCATAACGGGGGTATATTCGACTCGTCGGTAAAACCACTCATGCGTATTGTGAAACTAATGGTACATATACGTTGATTCTAGCCTTAACCAAAAATTGTAATTCTAAATTTCAAAATACAGTCCAAATGATGTCATTTGTATGATCTAACTTCCATTAGATCTCTGCCTGAGATACTTGTTGATACCTTGTTTAAAAGTTACTTCCGAACTTCCCATTGTAAGAATCCTTCTCGATGTTAAGATTCTGAAGAGGAAACATGATACGTCTCTTTTCTAGTTCAAACCTTGCCTCGTGACCCACAGAGAGGGAAAAGGGAGGGAATTCATGGATACATGTTATTTTTTTTACTTTGTACTCGTATAATTGAATTTAGAGGTAGATATTAAATCCCATTAATGCATGATGATTCGGAGGCAAGTCAACTTTGATCTCCAGATGCGAGTAACGAGGGAGGATGATAAATCTCATGATTCTGATGAACGCCTTCCACGCCACGCGGACAATGCGTGGCGCATCATAGTTATTCAATTATGAACCGCCGCCATCATCATACTAATAAATGCAGTTGTTATAAAACAATTAAGATTAGGCGGGAGGAGTGTGGGACGATGAATACGAACTGTTAGACGTTTCACGAGAATTAAAGGATCCTGGAAAGGATGTGGCATCCCATAGCCGCCAAGTTAGACAATTTAAATTAATTATTCAGAAACGGAACACGTAGAAAACTTGCACATTTCATGCAGCCAGGCTGCGATATCATTTTGCAAGTTCAAAAAAAAAAAATTTTGAGACACCTTCTTTAGATAAGACAAAAATAATTTTTTAGTTAGAAAACGCCGCTGACGGACAGAACCTAATTAGTGAGATAGGATGTTTTGATAACTAAGCGGCAACAGTGTGCGAGGACTTAAAAGGAAATCACCGGAACGTGAGAAGAACTAAATTAATAAAAAAGCAAGGAGAAAATTAATAGAAACATTCGAATGAAGTCTAGGGGGCAGGACATACGAAATGATTAGGGAGAGATATACTGCCGTGCTAGGAAAAAACGTCGTGTGGACACTCAAACGTTGCCGAATTTCCTCCGAAAAAATTAGTTTCCGAGAAAACTTGTGGATCATGAGAAAACTCTCGGTGAAATGACCTGTGCTTCTTGCAATATTGATGAGATCGAGTAGTGTCGTTTACCATTTGGACGTAAATTAACTATTTTACACCCAAATTATGTTCACACCAAATGAGGTAAATTCAGAGTTCGTTTGGGGACAGAGCTTATAAGAACTTTTGGATTGGTCAGCAGTATTTACATCTACATTGCACAGTCGATCTTAGCAGCATTGCAAGCCTTATGGGCACTCATCTCTTAGGTACCGATGATGTTCTTTTTTGTCGTCAAATGTTCCTGTTGAAATATTTGATTCGCACTGAAATCAAGCAAATCATCTAAAAATATTCATAATTATACATAGCTTTTCTTGAAAATTAATACATTGATGAATGTGTATGAGCCCGATCGCTCTGAAACAGGCACGTAGTCAGGACTTTGCTTTGAGGGGGGCTTGGCCGGCTGCAAGGGGTTTGCCCCCTTCAGAATAAGGGCCCCCCACGAAATTTTTTTGAAAAAGGCCCTCATCGCTGTTGCGGGGCATATTGGCATATTCTTTTTCAGACCAAGAATGTATGGATCGCATTTAGAAAAAGGACCCTCTGGGATTGCAGTGTTATCAAAATCGTGTCAATTCTTGTTTTCTTTTAAAAATACTTAATATTGTGTAAAATATTACAATTTAAACGGTTATTTTCCTTTGAAACTAACACTTTTTTAGTGGGAAGCAAAAACTATTTGCCATTCTAGGAGATTTTTTTAGATAATTATGAAAAAGCAACATTTTAAAAACACTATAATTGTGCTGGTTTCTTTTTGCTAGATGCGATCCATATTTCCGGAAAAATTTGACAACATTCGATGGTTCATACGTCGCAGTGGCGCGGCGTGCTGTGCGATATATCGATTGATCGGTCATTTAAACCTATAGAAAAGTATCGAAAAAAGGGTGTTCGCAGCGAACACCTTAACAATCGATTATTTACCACAGCTTCAAATGGGGGAAAATCGATAGATCGCAAAACACGCCACGCTACTGATACGTCGTTATTCCTCGACACGGGAGTTGAGACGTGGAATTGGACGAGGTTCCATAAAGATGGGGGTCTAAGCGTTTGTGAGTGAGAGTTGACGGGTCTTGATTTTACCATATAGTTGTCAGGATGTTTGCCCTGGAGCATGGTGGCGGCCTCTTGGTGGCCGGCGATGAAGGCCGAGTGGGGGAGGTCCCCGGGGAACCACAGGGCGATCATCCTCTCGGTCACGTACGTCAGGTCCATTCCGCTCATCGCGGATTGGTCCCGAGGGCGCCGCGCCGCTCTCCTCCCACCGCTGGTCATCCTCGTCTGAAACACAAATTCCAAAAATCATCAACCAAACTTCACACAAATCATCAACGAAACTTCAGACAAATATCATCCTCACCAACACCAGAAAACACATTTGAATCCCAAATGAATAGCATGATTGCAATTTTTAGACCCGCACGAATGTGGTCTTCCAATGCTGCCGTGCTAAGGAAGAACTCCGCATGAGCATTCGAGAGTTGCCAAATTTTAGAATATTTTGCCTTGAAATTTCCAGGAACTTCAACTCAAACTACGAACGAAATTCTCTGAAAATTGGAAGAAAAATATTCATAAGTTTACCAGGGAATCCGTGTTTTATCGAAGAAAATTTGGCAACGCCTGAAGACTCATACGGCGTTTTTCCTTAGCACGGCGGAAGGGGCCTCTTGATAAGGTGTAAATGAAAACACTACGCAGAGATTCGAGATGAAATTTCATTCTGCCGAGAAAATTTTACAAACAACTTTCATTTCGCTGAGAAAATTTAACAAAATTTCATGAAATGAAATTGGACAGAATGTGACTTTCATTTTATGAAGTTCATGAAATTTTGCGTCTCTGCCTGCGCAACATGTGTATCCTTCAAAATGTTGGGATTATTTTTTTATTTCATTTAGCTTATTAACTGTTCACTTGTACGTAAAGCTTTAAGGGGCCCAAGTCACTATAGGAAAAAGACAAAGAAGTGAACTGAAGGAACAACAAAGGAGAGACAAATAATACAGCAGAGAGTCTGAGAATCAACTCCTAAATGACGTATAAATTCCATTTGATCTATATTTAAAATACTTGTTGATGTCTCGTTCAGGAATTGACTCCCATTGTATTATTCGTTTTCTACGTGATATTTTGGGGAGGAAAAATTTGACGTTATTTCTGGTCGAGACCATGTCTAGTGGCTCATCGTATCGTCTGTAAAAAATTCGATCCCAAATTCCAATTTTATAGCATCAAAAAGCCAGTTTGAACTTTCTTTCCCCCATAAGGATCCATGTAATTCCGAAACTTCAAACACGTAATTCTCGAAATAGCAGAAACTGCACTTATGGGCCTTGTCCTCCAAGCTCCTCAATTGAGGTTTGAAAACTGTTACCAAGCGCAGCCTGCGGGATTGTCTCATTAAAGAATCTAATATCTGTAAAGGTCGAGAGAACGATGCATATTTTTCACACTGCATACATTGAAGAAAAAGGTGAAGCCGGTTCATTACATTGAAGAAAAAGGTAAACTCGGTGCATTACATTGAAAAAGTACTCAGAGCCAGGAACGTTACCAGCACCTTATCGCTTGATACGGCACGGATCAATTTCACGAGGAATTAAAACGGGATTTTATAGCCGATCTTCGAAGATGGAGTTAAGAATAACAATGATCGCGCCTAAGGTGTCTTCGCATTACCGAGGGAATCGTCGGCGAAATATTTAAATGGAAAGAGTAATTCTCTTCGTTAGTCCACAGACCACCATGCCGTCCTCTGTTATTGATACGGACATAAGGTCACTGATGGTGTCTAGCCCGGTTTCAAAGCGTATTTTCTCGTATTTGATGCAGGAATTAGGGCCTAAGTGACTTAAGAAAACTATTGTAAATTATTTAGATTTGCATTTTTATGGTAGTATTAAAATGACGAGAACTGTTTGTGCATCTCCTATCATGAATAGGCTGTCCCAAAACAACTGCCCTTTGATCTCGTTCTCGAGTGAGAACTATACGCGATGTGGGCCTGCGGTTTTTGGGAAGCTCGAGAACAATTCAACAAGTAAAGCTTATCTGGTCAAGAATTGTCGAATCTACAATAATTTTTTTTACCGAGGCGTGTTGGAAGCTGTTGTTAAGATCTCGTTCAAGTGTTAATTTCCGAATTTTCTTCACGTAAATCGTCTTCTACGTGGGATTTTGAAAAGAAAATAAGTGAAGATTCTCTGTAGTCAAGACCTTGTGTTTAGGCCAATGCCTATTAGTGTTTCTTTACTTTTCCCGCAAGTACATCAAGCATTTGTAGGTATCAAGATAAAGAAATATCATTACGATAAAAATTTAAACCATTAAATATAATGAGGACACCCTGAAATAATCACAAAGCACCCGAGAGCTTCAAAATCGAAAAGTGCATCATTTTTCAATGCAAGATTGCGACTTGACTGCAGCATAAAAAGGCTCGAATGCCAAGTTATAATCTAAAACTCATACGAAGGCCCCGCATCTTGCAGGGTTGAAGGTCTGAGGTCAGCGACGATTCCATTAATCTGGATTTACGTTCGAGGGAATCGACGTTTATACTGCCGTACACGAGAAGAACGCCGTATGAGTCTTCAGAGGTTGCCAAGTTTCCTCCGGTAAAAACCAACTTTACAGGAAAAATTGTGAATATTTTTCCTAAAATTTTCAGACATTTCGTACGCAGTTTAACCTAAAAATATCTGAAATTCCAAAGAAAAATGAGCATGAAATGTCGTCAAAATTACATGTTTTATCGAGGGAAATTTGGCAACTCTCGAATGTTCATGCGGCGTTCTTCCTTAGCACAGCAGTATAATACAGCGGCTAATTTCTAACTCTATCGTAAGCATCAGGTCCATTCTTCCGTGCTAAGGAGAAACGCCATATGAACCTTCCGGCGTTGCCAAAACTCCTTTGATAAAACACGAATTTCCTGATAAACTTATGAATATTTTTCTTCCAGTTTCTCAGATAATTTTGCTTGCAATTTGACCTGGAGGTCCTGAAAATTTCAAGGAAAAATAATCATAACTTTCCTTCAAAATAAACATTGTATCAAAGAAAATTTGGCAACTCTCCGATGTTCATACGGCGTTCTTCCTCAGCACGGGAGCATTCAAATTCGGTCTAAATCCCCTGCGAAAGTTGCGGGGATAGACAATGAGCGGAGAAGATCCCTGGGGGTTTTTCGTAATCTTTTCGAGTGAGCAGGTTCGCCGGGATTTGATTTCAAAGGTTAACACACCAATTAGGGTCATTACCCAGGGATAGCGCGGTAATCCCCGGCGTCCGACTCTGGGATCTGTCTATTCATCGGCTCCCCTCGGAGTTTGTCCCTAGGCGCTGGATCCGCGGTTGAGGAGCATGACTAGGTCGTTTCGATCAGGGTCGAGGGCTCCTTGAGAGCGTGACAAAGGACTCGCGAGTCGTGGCTTCATTTAACATGTTTATTTTAATATAACAAAATATTGTTGCTGTTTGCGATAACGAACACGTTCTGGGAACCAGCACTGAGCGATTGTTGCCGGCTCGGTATGGCTCACAGTGGATCCATTCAATGGGAGAGGTCGGACAAAATTCGGAAACTTCCATCACTTTCAACCCCGTTTATACAAACCTTTGAGGTTCCAAAGGTGGTTCTATTGGTTTCCTCGTGAAATTTTCTCATAGAAGCAGCCCTCAGGGTTGAAAATATGACAAAATAAAATATCAAAATTTGCAGTTTTTGTCGAACATGTCCGACCTCTCTCATTGACCCGATCCACTGTGTGACTGTGCGACCGTGCTGAGGAAAAACGCCGAATGAACATTTGAGAGATGCCTTTTCCCGGATAAAACATGTATTTTTTAGGGAAGTTGTGCATATTTTCCCATGATATTTTAGATAAAATTGCGAACAAAGCTATCTACAAATTTGAGAAATTCTTCTCAAAATTTTTGCGTCGAGTTCGTTTTTTATTGAAGAGAACATGGCAACGTCGGAAGGCGCATACGAAGTTTTTACTTAGCCCGGCCGCGTGATAATTTTACATGGAGAGAGGGGACACTGGAGCTTACTCTACTGTGTTACGGCGAGAAGCACTAATACCCCAATTTTCGGAATCCCCCTTCAAAATGGTTTACATTTAAATGGCCAGACTGGTTCAGCTAAACGGACAAACAGTTAGATTAAAAAATGCAGAAAAAGGCAAAAATGGCGGAAAAAATGTAAAATCATAAGGTTATGCACATTTACTCTCTTTTAAAACCACTGCAGCCTGCGCGTGCACCCTTGAAATAATATTTATAACTTAGAATTTTGTTTGAATTTTAAAAAAAATTTATCCTCGGGACTTAATTGCGCGTTGTGTTTTTCTGACGATTCAGCGACTACTTTGTAGGTACTTCTGTTCTCAACCAAAAACGGACCTATCCAATACGATCCGGTCGGAGGTCAGGAGAACACAAATGGGGTATAAATAAAAACAAGAGCACCGATGATTGAGATTGACGTAAAGTTGGTCATTGGTGAGGGTGAGCGGATATTTATTAGATAGAGCGGCGTGTAAGGCTAGACAGCTACACTGCCGTGCTGTGTAGCCGGAATAACGTCGTATGAACATTCGAAGGTTGCCAAATTCCTCGTAATAAAATATCTACTTCGAAGCAAATTCATGAGAATCTTCACTTGAAATTTGCAGGTACTTTAGAATAAATTACGGATAATATCCTCTGAAAAATTAGGAGAAAAGTATCCACAAGTTTCCCGAAAAATTTGAATTTTACCAATGGAAATTTGGCAACACCTGAGGGTTCATAGGGTGTTTTTCCTCAGCATGGCAGCTACACAGGCGAGTTGACAAGGGCGTTTAAGTGGGGCCACCAGATGCTTTCGCTGAGTCTTTGTTCCTCCCCGATCAGGTATGGGCGCCCCCGCAGACGCTGCAGCTTGGCGGGCGGTGATTGATTTTAAAGAAGGCACCGAAAACATTTACTTCTGATCGCGATGTTGCCATCCAGTGCACATTTTACACATTTCAACGAACACTTGGGCACAAAAAGACTCAAATAGGACGCGCGTGAAGCAAGATGAAACCAAGTCGCATTAGCCATTGCCAAATTTTATCCAACCCTTAATTTTTTTATTCAAAACCCGATTGCACGGATTCTTTTCTGAAATTGTCAAAAGGAAAGAAAAAGTTCTTCTGTAAACAAAAATTAGTCGATGAATTTTGGCAATGGGTGATATGACTTGGTTCCTTTCTGCTAAATGTGATCCAAATATATCAAAACTAGTT